CATTTTCTGAAGAAGGGTCTAGGCCCAAAACGTCAGCCTTCCTGCTCCTCTGATGATGCTTGGCCTGCTGTGTTCATCCAGTTCTACACTTTATTATCTCTCTTCTATCCATGGACTCCATTTACACTTCTCGTTGCCACGGAAAGGCTGCCAATGTTATCAAAGACCCATCTCATCCCCATAATGCTCTCCTACAACTTCTTCCATCAGGCAGAAGATACAGAAGCTTGAACACATGCACCAGCAAGATCAAGAACAGCTTCTTCCCTGCCATTACTAGACTGCTGAATGAACTCTCAACTTCAAATAATGTTGAGCTTACTAATTTTGTTCTTGGCTTGCGCATGTCCTATGCAATGTAACCTGTATACTTCGTTCTGTCCAAGTTTTTTTCATTCTATGATCTGTATGTCCTCATTTACAATGATGTGCCAATAATGCTTTCAAACAAAGCTTTTCACTGTACTTAGGTACACATGACAATAAATCAAATCAATCAATCAACTGTGAAACAAATTTTGTATTGCCATTAAATAGTGAACTATGAATTTTTTGTTAATGATAAGGATCTGCATACTTACTGTAACTGACTTTTAATGGTCATCCTGATTCGGTCTCGGACTGTTAAAATTTTTTCCAATCTGCTAAGATCGTAAGTGGTCGGGTTCCGGAAAAGGATGTCCTCTGGTAACCCAGTCACTTCAATCGCATCAGGATTATCTCGGATTAATTTGTATGGCACCAAAACAGGCCGGTTCAGTCCCAGGGCCTCTCCTGAAAGATAACATATCACAAGTATAAACTATAAAGTGTGTTAATTTACCCCACTGCAGGATATGTACCTAGTTGGATGAAAAAGCATGCCCCTTTCCTATGACATATCTTTCACTTCAGTCCATATACTGGTCAAAGCGATGGTGGCAGTGGTTGCACAGAGTGTTGAGCTGCTCTCCATATAGCTGGTGAAGAGCTCCTGGTACCTGCTGTCTACCTTGTATGGTCACTGCTCAGTGATTATGAGTTGGCTGAGAACTGACAGACTAATGCATTAGAAAAGAGAATCTCCCTGAATCCAATATCGGCATGTGTCATTGATCGAAGGTTGGCCTCAAATCAGCTTTGTGACCAATCTAATTGCTGACCAATCAAAAACAACTCTCATTTATATAATGCCTTTGATACAGTAAAGCATCTCAAAGAGCTTCACAAAAAACACCACAATACAAAATTTGACAATGAGATTGGTAAGGAGGTAACTTGGTTACAAGTCTTAAGGAGCACCTTCAAAGGAGGAAAAAAGGGTACCAAAGTGGAGAGACTTCATTAGAGGAATTGGGAGAGTTCAACTTCTCTTTGGAAGACAGGAAGGAAGTGGACAGGTTTCCCCTTACCTGCTTCCAGATAACCAAGTCAGTGAATACCTAGATGTAGAATGGCTGGATAGGAACAATAAACCACTCTAGTTCACTGCAAGAGATGGGTTGGTTAAAAACCTACACTAGTGCCTCAGCACATTTACTTCTTGCTAAAAGTATAGACCATTGACTTTTTAAAAGAAATTTGAGCTTCCTGTTAATGACTGAAAGATTGATATACAGTCAGAGTCATACAGCACAGAAACAGCCCCGTTGGTCCGACCATTCCATGCTGACCATAATCCCCAAGTAAGCTAGTCCCACCTGCCCTGTGCTTGGCCCATATTCCTCCAAACATTTCCTTTTCATTTACTTATCCAAATGTCTTTAAAACGTTGTAAATGCACTCACATCCACCACTTCCTCTGGAAGTTCATTCCACACACAAACTACTCTCTGTAAAACAAATTGCCCGCATGTCTTTTTTAAATCTTTCTCCTCTCACCATAAAAATATATCCCCTAGTCTTGAAATCCCCCAACCCAGGGAAAAGACACCTGCCATTCACCTTATCTACATCCCTCATGATTTTATAAACCTCTTATAAAGTCATCCTCCAACCTCTTATGCTCCAGTAGAAAAAAGAGTCCCAGCCTTTCCCTATAACTCAAACCCTCCATTCCCAGTAACATCCTGGTAAATCTTTTCTGAATCCTCTCCAGCTTAATAATATCCTTCCTATAACAGGGTAACTACAACTGGACACTCCAGAAGAGGCACCACCAACATCCTTTACAACCTCAACATGATGTCCCAACTCCTATACTCAAAAGTTAAGACTTTTACTGTAACAAACAACTAAATTCAATCATTATCAGTGTAAAAAATATCACTGTACTTTACACTGCTCTTCAAGTAGACATTCAATTCTGTTAGGTCCAGACCAAGTCTGTTCTTTTTTTTCCAGTCTGGAATCTTTTAGTCTCAAAACTGTCTCTTTCACAATGAGGGACCTTCCCTGGATATTTGCCTGGTTTTAAATTCAAATTCCCTTTGAACAACCACACAGGTGGGGTACTGCAGGGCTGCTGACCCTCAGATAACCATTATGTAGGAATGATTCTCATCCACACAGGCAAGGCAAGCAATCAAAAACTGTAGTCAAACATTAAGGACAGGAGTAGGCCGTTCGGTCCCTCAAATCTGCTGTCATTCAATCAAATCATGGCTGATCCGCAATTCATCCCCTCTTGATCATCCCATCCTTTGATCAATAACTCTGACAACTTTATCCCAACAAAATCAATTAATCTCAGTCTTAAATAGTTTGATTATCCCAGCATTCAAAGCCTTTAAGGTGAGTTTTCCAGATGTGTGTTTTTAAATAAGACTGGTGCTGATGACTAAAAACTTACGCTAACTGCTATTATAGAATTTATATAAAGTTACAGATTATGTGTCTTCGGAGTTTTGCTGCAACATAATTCACAGTGGAGCAAACAAAATTACAAATAAAACTGGATTTAAAAGCATAAACAGAATTTTAAAAGATCACTAAAATAATAATTATAACATTCCCAAACATTAGAACTGGAACACAAGTTTCAGACAGGGAAAATGTTTAACTCAGTATTGAATGCTGAGGAAACTTACCGTATTTTTCATTGAATAATTCCTTCACTTGCTCTCTGAGTATGACCTTCTCTCCAAGTCTGTTTGCCTCTTCATCCTCTAAATTGTGAAGAGTAACCAAAATATTAAAACAACAAATGAAGAGGTCACCAGGTAAAGTGCATACATTCACCACTGTGTCAACTCAATATAATTACAATTACACAACTCCTCCATGAGACTTTTGTCTGCCTTGTTGAGACCCTGTAACTATAAAACAGGAAAAGGAAATATTTTTAATTTCCCATCTCACAGAACATTAAAGCAACCCACAAAATTCTTTCAATGAAAGGTAATTTGCCCTATCTCCCAATGTTAACAATCCTTTAAAACACTCCAGGAGTTGGAACTGCCTGCCTTGTTATTCCTTGTGTTGAACAACTATGTACTGTTGAAATGCTTTTAACTTTAGGTTATATTGTTTACAGACAAACAAGCTAACAAACTGGAGAGAAAACATTAGGTTGGAGGTAATAATCACACCAAATGCACTTGCATAGTTGTGGTATCAAAATTGCTGTACATATCTATTACTTAGTCCCAGAGCAGAAGAATAAACCTGAAGTTATTTCAAACTTGCAACACACAAGATACCTAACCACAGATTCCTCACTCTATTTACATAATCAATAATCCCTCCATGCTCTTTATACACTAATAATCCCCCGACACAGTTTACACAAAGGACTAAAATATATTTTTCCCCCTGAAGACATTCCTGAGTTAAAAGGACTACTTCTTATTTTTTGGGACCTATGTTTTGGCTTTTAAAGGCTCCTTTTTCTTGATCACTAACTCTCTTATTAGATAATACCAATGCTACATGACTGCATTGTTTGCTTGGAGGATTTCCTTCTTTCAGCACAAGATAGGACATAAACTCCTGTCTGGTCTTGGAAATTCTACCCTCCTTAATTTAGAGGTAATCCAAATCTTTGCTGCTGGCTAAAATCGCAGTGTGTTCCTTTCCCCTGCGATCCCTACCCTTACTACTCTATATTGGTTCCCAATTAGGTGTCTTGATTTTAAACATCTCTTCTTTGGTGAGTGTTTGCAGAGCTCTGAGATGCAGAGGAGTCTGGGTGTCATGGCGCATGAGTCACAGATAGTTTGTATGCAGGTAGAGCAAGTAATTAGGAAAGCTAATAGAATGTGAACATTTTTGTTAAGAGGAAATGAATATAGAAGCTATGCTTTAATTTTGCAGGGCACTGGTGCAACTACATCTGCAGTACTGTGTACAGTATTGGTCACCTTACCTAAGGAAGGATATAAATGTTTTGGAAGCAGTTCAAAGAAGGTTTACCAGATTTATACCTGGAATGGACATGTTCTTACGAGAAAAGGTTGGACAGACTGGGCTTGTATCTGCTGGAGTTTGAAGAGTAGGAGGTGACTTGATTGAAACATGTAAGATTGGGTGGGCTCTTGACAATGAGGTGTAGAGATCATGTTTGTTTCCACTTACGGAAAAATCTAGAACTATGGGTCACTGTTTAAAATGTGGGTGCCACTCATTTAAAACAGAGATTAAGCATAATGCTTTCCTGTCAGAGCGTCTTTGGAACGCTCTCCCTGAAAGGTGGTGGAAGCAGATTCTTTGACTATTTTAAGACAGATGTACATAGATTCTTGTTAAACAAGGGGTTGTAAGGTTGTCAGGGTAGGCAAAAATGTGGATTTGAGGTTATAATCAGATTAGCCATGAGCTTACTGAATGGCAAAGCAAGGTTGAAGGACTGAATGGCTCTTAACTCATATTTGTATGTTTCCAAATCCCTCCATAACAAACCCAAAGCACACACCCTCACCATAACCCCTAACCCTAATCTCACCCAGACCCACAACTTCCAAAGATACTGAGTTCTGGCCTCCTATGCACCAATTTTATTTGCACCACCATTGGTGGGGGTCTTCAGTTACCATTTCTCCCAGCATGTCTTCTCTCTTTGACAAACATTTGTTTATTTGATCTAACATTTCCTTCTCCTGTGGTTCATATCATACCCTGGTCTATAATGCTCCTGTGAACTAGCTTGGCATGTCTCATTGTTAAAGATGCAATATAGATTAAAGCTGCAATACTGGACTTTATTTACCCAAATCTAATTGTTGCTTTGTTATCTAAGGTTTTGAGTCCTTCAGACTCCTTTTGTACCCCTCTCACTTTCATGTTTAGTTCACTAGCACTATAACTCAGCTCAGGTTACTGATGGAGATCAGGAAATGTTGGCATAAATTGATGGCACACTCGACTTTTCCATCCTTATCTCCAGGTTATGAGGTAGGCCTTTGACTGGAGAATGTATTTGCAAAGATACAGAAAACTGTGTCTTGCCATAGTCGTGTGACTTCTCATATTTGCTTTTAGTTTAGAAAGAGAAGACCTTAAAACCTACAGATGGAACATACTGGAAGAACAGTTGAAATTGTGTGCATTTTGAGAACTGTAAGAAGCAGCCATAAATAAATAGAACAGCAGTCTGTCATTGTAAACTACTGGGTGGGTCAGGTTGACTTTGAACTTTCCTGTCCCTTCCACTGTGAAGACGAAAGGTGACATGAGACAGAATTGGAACCTCTTCCAATTTCAATGGCAAAATTATGAGCTGATCACAGAATCGAATTGAAAACCTGAACGAATGAGTATTGACTCAGTGCTGGGGGAAGGTGCCACAAGCTGTATTGCATTCTAGAACTCACCGAGGAGCAGAAAAGTCAGACTGGAGAAATATTGACAACCTTAAAGATCCATTATAACCCTTTACTAATGTTATTTATGAACAATATATTTTCAGAATCGGAGCTCAGTGAGAGTGGAAGAATACTGATCAGCATGAACCTGCACAAAGACATCTAGCTGACTCTTGCAAAGTTGATCTCATAAGAGATGGGATAGTCTTAAGAATAAGAGATTCCACCATGACAGCACATCTGCTGAGAAAAATGTACTCAAAAACTATTGTGCAAAAGCTCAGAGGTTGTTAATCATCAGTTGGGGAGAATTAATGGGAGAACTCATGAAGCCTTAGTGACAGTCCAGGCCTAGCAAAAACAACACAATGGAAAAAGAAAAGAGGAAATACTTACAGAAAAGACAAGAGAAATCAGGCCAGAACACAGGATGGAAATATTGCAGCGGACACCACAGGAAAAAAAATCAAAAAAAAAAACACGCCCAGTGTGGGGAAAGTAGTGTTCAAACTACAACAAGCTGATTCACTTTATATGCAAGCATTTAGTTTTAAAAAAGTAAAACAAGGCTATAAAGATTGTTGCTGGAGAGATGTTGAATGACACCATCTGGCTTAAAGATGATAAATGGAGTATGACTGGTAAAATGGTGGCTGCAGAAGGACAGCATCAACGATAGGCACTGTACTATGTGAAACATCATGTACGTCACAGATCTATGAGAATTGGCTCAAGATGATCATCTAAAATTAAAGGCTCCAAAGGCAAAGTTGAGGCTATATGATAGAATGATCCTCATCCCAAGAAGATATCAAAGCAAAGGAAGGATTGAAGATCTGAGTTCCAGATAGTATGCAAAATTCACTCTTCTTACCTGAAACATAAAACATAGAACATAGAACAGTACAGCACAGTAGAGGCCCTTCGGCCCACGATGTTGTGCCGAACTTTTAACCTCCACCCCTACCTTATACTATCATCCATATGCGTATCTAATAGCCGCTTAAATGCCCCCAATGAGGCCGACTCCACTAGCTGTTCCGGCGATGCATTCCACGCCCCAACCACTCGCTGAGTAAAGAACCTACCTCTGACGTCTCCCCTATATCTACCTCCACTCACTTTAAATCTATGCCCCCTCGTAATCGCTACCTCCACCCTAGGAAAAAGTCTCTGGCTGTCCACTCTATCCACTCTGATCATTTTGTATACCTCTATCAAGTCACCTCTCATCCTTCGTCGTTCTGAAGAGAAAAGCCCTAGCTCTCTCAACCTTTCCTCGTAAGACCTTCCCTCCGTTCCAGGCAACATCCTGGTAAATCTCCTCTGCACCTTTTCCAACGCTTCCACATCTTTCCTCTAACGAGGCAACCAGAACTTGACACAATACTCCAGATGTGGCTGAACCTGGACGAACCAGCTTTTGTATAGCTGGACCATAACTTCACGGCTCTTGAACTCAATCCCTCTATTGATGAAAGCTAACACACCACACACCTTCTTAACAACTCTATCCACCTGGGTGGCACCTTTCAGGGAACTGTGGACATGAACCCCAAGATCCCTCTGCTCCTCTACACTGCCAAGAATCTTTCCGTTAACCCTGTATTCTGCTTTCAAGTTTGTCCTTCCAAAATGAATCACCTCACACTTTTCAGGGTTAAACTCCATTTACCACTTCTCAGCCCAGCTCTGCATCCTATCAATGTCCCTTTGTAACCGAGAACAGCCCTCCACACTGTCCACAACGCTACCCACCTTCGTATCGTCCGCGAACTTACTAATCCACCTTTCCACTCCTTCATTCAAATCATTTACAAAAATCTCAAATAGAAGAGGACCCAGAACAGATCCTTGTGGTACACCACTCGTAACTGGGCACCATGTTGAATATTTTCCGTCCACTACCACCCTTTGTCTTCTAAGGGTCAGCCAATTCTGAATCCAATCTGCCACATTTCCCCCTATCCCATGCCTCCTTACTTTCTGCATGAGCCTATCATGGGGAAACTTATCAAATGCCTTCCTTAAATCCATGTGTACCACATCCACTGCTCTACCTTCACCCACGTGTTTGGTCACCTCTTCAAAGAATTCAATAAGGTTTGTGAGGCATGATCTGCTCCTCACAAATCCATGCTGACTATCACGAATCAAACTGTGCCTTTCCAAGTGATCATAAATCCTATCTCTCCGAGCCCTTTCCAATAATTTGCCCACCAATGAAGTAAGACTAACTGGCCTGTAATTTCCGGGGTTATCCCTATTCCCTTTTTTGAAACGAGTCTAAAGCTTGGACTGGCAACCCTACATGTGCCTGAAGAAATTTATAGAATATTTCAAGCATCTAAGTTATTGACCACTGT